CAGCTTTTTGAATGATTTTAGTTTGTTTGGTTAGATCACAAAGGCTGTAATGGTCCAGAACAAAATCCTATGGGACAAGCCTGTTTTTTATTTTTATTTTTTTTCCTGTTTATCTACAGTCAGAGCTTATTAGGTCCTGCTAAACGGRCTCTTTAAGTTTATCCTCATGCCACGCTTTGTCCATAATTGTGTTTTCCAGGCGGAGAGCGTGGCTCCATTATGAAAATTGTTTCTCTTTCCGCATCTCTTATTTCCCCCTCCCTTGTCCAGTCAGCCTGCCCGTGGACTTGTTGTCTTTGAGGCTCAATTCAGCTTTTTTTTTTTTTTCAACTGTATCTTTGCCACCCTCTTCAGGTGGCAGTTTGAATTGCATGTCAGGGGTTTCAAATCTGCCTTGGCATCTCATCTGTCTCAAGAACTAAAGGCTTTTTTTTTGGTTCAAGGAGTCAAAAAAATTTCCACCAGGCTGTAAAGCATCAAAGCAATATGTGGTATTAATATTAATATATCTACCTTAGACTTTTATCAAGTTGCTCTGAACTCTCAGATCTTTCCTCTGATGGATCGGTGAGACAGCTTAAACTCTCTGATTTACACTCTCCCCCACTCAGTGATTTTATCTTTTGACACATGTTACAACCTAGTTGTTTTGGCACAGATAATATCTGCCCCGATCGTTTCCCAATTCCCAACCCATGCCATTTTTCCCCTGTCAGTCTCTGTGTGTGTTTGTTCCCATGTTGGCAGGGAGTCGATGGCAGCAGCTCCCCAGCACCAGATGGGGCATTGTCAGGAAGTAATGAGGGGAAAACACCTGCCTCTCCGCCGAACTCCACTCCTTCATTTTCTGCCGTTTGACACAACATATGCAGGGACGCACATGCAAAACCAAGTGACCGTGACGAGAACAGCAGTAGGCAGAGACATGCAGTAACAAATGTCTGGCATTGCAAYGCATCAGTCAGTGAAGTGTCATGTTTGGTATAGCTCACTCCTACATGAAGGCTTTCTGCTGTGACTGTGACTTTAATGCTACAGAACAGCATCTCTGTGTCCTGCCTGCTCCGAGCCCAACGTTTCGAGCTGCTTTGTATTCTCTGCACAAGCCCAAGAGGTTGTCCTGTGGTTTACCAGCGAGGCACCGCCGAGGTCAGCATGTTATTGTAAACTGCTCTTCTTCTCCCTCCAAAGCCGAGCCTCACACCTCAGGGTCAGCTCCTCTGAGCGAAGGCCCTGATAAATGGCATTGTCGTTTGTGGTCGTCCAGGTAAAGCCTCAGAAGCAAAGACAAGTCAGGAGCACTCAGCATTTCTCTCATGACTGACTCAAAGGCCAAAAAAAATTGTATCAGCTGACATTTAACATGCAGGGAGGGCTTCTGAAAGCACAATTTTATGGCTTTTTCATATCTAGAATGAGAGCTCGATTTTTCTTAAAGCCAATTTCTTCAAAGTACTAAAAATTGCTGGGCTGAAAACAACCTAATTTGCAATTTGTAACTTCATACTGAGCCAACCCTGGGTAGGCTTAACTCAGCAGGGTTAGTTTATAAATTTAACCCAAAGTACTGTGTTGTTTTTGATCCCAAAATTAGATTACAAACTACTTCATTTGATTACAGCTAAACCAAACTAAAAATAAATAAATAAATAAAAATCTGGGTTATTGGATAATTACAGCTTAAGTTGTTGTCAATGCATATGCAACATACAGTATGTGCTGCTTTAGACCCCCAAGTTAGCAGGGGACCCCTACCTACAAAAGACATGTTGTGGGATCTGTTTGAAAGGAAATCTACTTACTTTGCTGTTTATATGAAAATATTCCTATGCAGTCTTTAACCTGAACACAATATTGAATTTAGCCCCACCCTCTGACTCCACCAAGCCCTTTGTGAGGAGCTGCAAATCAAATGACTGGCAGGTTGAAGTAAATCCCTCAACGTAATAAAACTCATTTTAATTCCTAAGTATGTTGAGCATGTGTTGAGTATTTTCCTCTCCTAGGCTTTTTTTTCATAGATTTATTTCATTTAAAGAACAAAAACAAACATTTAAAATAAACAAAAAAAGCACAATAACATTAAATGAAAAGGAACAGAGAGAAGAAAAAAATTGTATAACTTCTGCCCCCAATTAAAGCTATACACACACACACACACACACACACACAC